AATTGACTGTATATTTGTGGGCGAAACGCGGCAGCCAATTGCGTACAGCTGTATCTCACAAACAGTCTTGGATTGAAAATCACTAATTTATTATTGTTTTATTTTTGGAGGGATTATTATTAGGTGTGTGGAGTAAGGAAACTTGCCCAAGGTTTCACCCTCTGCCTGGAACTGAACCCAGGTGTCTCGCTTGCAAGACGAGTGCTCTAACCACTGAGCTACAGGACTCCATCTTTTAACATTGACAATGAGAGACTGTGAAAATGTGCCCGCAATTGTGAGGTGGTTGGATTACTGAGGTGACCGCAAACCAGGTTTCTACTGTAGCTCCCTTCACATCTCAAAGCACTTCACAAATAAAATAGAAACTGAGCAGGATGAGAAACAGGGTTAGCCTAAGTTTAAAATTTATGTCTCATCAGAGGAGATAAAATATCGGAATTTTAAATAGTTTTAAAAAATTTTAAAAATAGTTTTGTTTTCTTAATTTTGGATACCATTCCAAAGGAGAAAATGTGAAAATAGAAGCAGATATGAAAATGACGTGAACAGCATTTCGTGATTCGAGGTTAATTCAGAGTTAAGTTTGCCTGTACTGTTCCTTCTCATGTATATGGGAAGCATAGGGGGAGGGAGACGTGTCAGTTTATTCCCATCAGAAGGCTCATGACACAAGGTGTTCATCAAAATATGATACAAAGGTAAATTGTGATCAGACTAGATTGCTGGCGCTGGTTATTATAATCTTTACAATTGGTACAGGGCATTATCACGTTGTTGAAACATTTCAAAGAGCTTCACAGGATTTTTTTGTGAAGTGTAATGACTGTAATTATTAGGCAAATGCGGCAGCCATGCAGTCCCACAAAGATCATAGGAGTGCAAAAAATATGATGATCGATCACGAGATACATGGATGCTTGGTTCCTTTGAAATACCTGCAGATATAGCACAGAAGGGCAATCGTTTTGTTTCATTTTCAAGATTTAGAGATTAACTTGTGAATTAATGCTGGGATTTGTGTGTCAGCCTGGCTCAGTTGGTAGCACTTTTACCTGAGTCAGAAGGTTGTGGTTTCAAACTCCTGTCAGAACTTGGAACTCATATCGCCTAGGCTGGCACATTCCAATTCAGGTTGGGGTGCGCTGCGTTGTTGGAAGTGCTGTCCTTCATTTGAGATGTTACCCCAAAGTCCTATTTGCTTGTTCAGGTAGACGTGAAAGATCCCATGGCACTATTCAAAAAGAGAAATGAGTTTCTCCTGGTGTCCTAACAAACAATCCCCTGAATAAAATTGGTTGTTCACTTCATGGTTGTTTGTGGGGCATTGTTGTGTACAAATTGGCATTCACCTATAAAATGCACAGTCACTACACTTTATAGTAAATCCAGTGAAGAACTTTAAGTCCTCCAAATGTAAAGATTATTATTATTACGGAATGCGCCAATCTCACTCCCCTTGCCTCGCCCGGAGCAAAATGTTGATTATACCTGGAGCAAACAAATACAAAGTAGAAGTATTTAAAATCATCATAACAGATGAGAGCTCACTTCAAGGGCAATTCACAAGCGAATTGAAGCCAAAAGAAAAATCCTCTGAGCACACCAATGATTGAAGATTTGCCAAAGTATCATAGCACTATTCTTAATGTACTGCACAGCTTCACCCACAAAATACACAGTATATTTTGAAAAGGCACTATTTCAAATGCAAGGATTATTATTATTATTGTTGCCAGCCTAGAACATTGTAATAAACAGCATGGTTTTCTATTCCTTCCTCATTCCTTTAATAATTAATATTTATCATTGTGAAGACCAAGAGCAAGTCTCTGTGATCTTTGATGCTTCGTGCAACCAAACTGCTATGTAGAAATTGTGTTGTTCTGAGAGTCTTTGGCTAACACAGGCAGTAACAAGAGAGCCATAAAAACAAGAATAATAATCCTTGCATTTTTTATATAATCTTTGATATAATCTCCTAGGTTTTTTTGATAAAAATGATCTCAGCATCAGTGGGAAGCAGAATGGGTTACAGTTTACACTGACTAGGCAGCACAATAAAATAGGCTATTCAGTCCAACCAGTCTGTGCCAGTGTTAAAACTCCACAGAGGTCTCCAGCCCACTCCTTACTCCCTCCTTTACCCTTGTATTGCCCTCTTCCTCATGTGAAGGTCTAACTTCCTTTGAATGCATCTATATCTAAACTATCTGATTTACTGATTTAACCACTGCTTAAGGCACTAAGTTCCACACTCTCACTACCCTCTGCATGAAGTAGTTCCCCCTAAATTCTCATTTAGATCTCCTCATCGCTAATTTATAATGTATCTCCTGGTTAAGAACTCCCCAACAAGTGGGAACAGCCTATTTTGTTAACCTTAGCAACAACAACAACAACAAAATTACATTTAGAGAGCGCCTTTCACATCGGAGGGGTGTCCCAACGTGAAAGGCTTTTCATAATTTAATAGCAAACCCTTTCATAATTTTAAACACCTGGATTAGGTCCCCTCTTAAAAGGTCTCTTCTCCAGAGAAAAAGGTCTGACTGCTTGTCTATCCTGCTAGCAGTTCCCTGCCTGCCCTGGTACCATCCTAATATTCCCGTTGCTAGAACTAACATTGGGGAAAAACTTGATTCGTCTGTTGTCTCTTACAAATCATAATATAAAAATAAGAATTTTTTTTCATTTGATACAGTGACTTTCATGTTGGGAGGACGTCTCAAAACGTTTCACAAGATTTACTGTAAAGTGTGGTGACTGTGTGTTTTGTAGGCAAATGTAATAGCCAATTTTGCGCATAACCATATCCCACAAACACTAATGGTATGAATGAACATATTTATCCTGGAGGATTGTTGGCCAGGACACCAGGAGAAACTTCCTTTTCTCTTTTCAAATAGTACCATGAAGTCTTTAATATCAACCTGAACACAGACAGGATCACAGTTTAACATCTCATCCGAAGGCCGGCACCTCCAACAATCCGCCACACCCCCAGCACTGCACTATGGTATCAGTCCAGACGATACAAGTTCAAGTCCCACATTAGGCTTGAACCCATAATCTTCTGATTCAGAGCCGAGAGTGCTACCAAATGAGCTAGGCTGATACATAGCCAGGCTGATACATAGTCAAGTCCTTTCATAAAGTGAAAACAAGCACCAATAAAGCTTTCCTTTCTGCAAATACAAAATTTATCTTAAAGATCCTTTTATCTGTACAAAACAGTGATTGAAAAAGCGTGGTTATGGAGCCTTGCAGAATGGTCTCACTGTGCTTGGTATTTCCTCCTCAATCAGCTCTTGCTAGGATTCCCCAGAGCAGACTGTGTTGAATGCCATCTTTCATGCTGCAGCCCAAAGATGTTTAATCTCAAATGTGACTGGCGAGCGATGGCCAGATGAGACTTCCATCCAAACTCGTCTGTCTGCTTGTTCTGACAAGTTTCAAAGATCCCACGTCACTGTTTGAAAAGAGAAGGGAATTTCTCCTGGTGTCCTGGCCAACAACATTGCAAATAAAATGGTTATTTGCCAGACTGCACTGGCTGCCTGTCCCAGAGAGGATCGACTTCAAGATCCTCACCCTTGTCTTCAAATCCCTCCACTCCTCTGCACCCCCCACCTCTCTGACCTCCTCTCTCCTCACAGTTCCCGTTGCCTTCGTTCCTCCGGGTCTGGCCTCTTCCTCCCCCGAGTCCTCAGTTCCACCCTCGGCGTCTGTGCCTTCAGTCGCTATGCCCCGAGGCTCTCGAATTCCCTGCCTCACTTCCTTCGCCTCGCTCCCTCTCTTCCTATTTTCAGGTCTCTGCTGAAGACCTCTCTTCCACAGCGCCTTTGGTCACCTTCCTCTCCATCACCCTGGCTCAGCGTCGGGATCCTAAACTGTAAAGCGCTCTGAGACGCCGTCCAGCATGGAGGGCGCTATATAAATCCAAGTTGTTGTTGTTATTCATTTCATGGATGTTTGTAGAACTGTAAGCAAAATGGCTTCCGCACTTGCTATCCCATACGCAGTCACTACATTTGACCTGTGAGATTTTTGAACGTTACAGGCACTATATGAAATTCACATGAAGAATAGTCAGACAGGACTTAAAGGGACCTCGCATTAAGGTCTCATCTGAAGAACAACACATTCAATGATGTGCCCCCCTCCACCCCACCACCAGTGTCCCAGTCACTGTACTGGAGCTACCCTCTCCTTTAGAATATCATTTTACAACACATCTCAAACTGGTTTAAAATTGTCAGGCCCATTTTACTTCAGTGTCAAGCCTGTCTAAATTTCTGAACATTAACACAAGGTCTCTAGGTTACATTCACAGCACCAACCACCTAACAGAACACATAGATTGTTAGCGCCAAGAGAGCAAGACAACTTCCATCATCTCTTTGGTAAGCAGTGAAACGGACTGGAAAGCAGCCTTGCAGAAGGTATAAACAGAAACAACATGACCCAGTATAAGTTTACCCAGAAATTAATCTCAAATGTGGAAAAGGATTTAAAAGATCACTAAGCATTCTCTTGCCAAGAAGACATAGAAAAAGGGCTTTTATGCGTGTGATGGAACAATATTCAGAAAACCTTCTGACCAAAGTGAAAAAGAACAGAGTGTTTGGGTAATTGGTCTCAGGTGCATCAGAGAGTATCCTCTGCCTTTAGAACATTTTATTAAGAAAATAAAATGCCCCTTGGCACATTTCATTGAAAGCAATCGGAGAACAGGATAAATCAGGAATTGGCAGACTAAGTAATCCCATGTAAATCACAGGCTTGCTCTCATCTGTATTTTCTAAAAAAATCACATCATGCCTTACTTGCACAAAATATGTACACCATTTTCACCCTCAATTGTATTCCAAACTAACAGACAAGAAAACAGATAAATCCTCAAAGTCCACTTGCAGGTCAAAATTGAAATGTCACATTCACAAACGCTGAGTGCACGAGAAGCCTCACTCACTCACCCATCCTGGCAAAGGAGTTACCTTTGAATTGACGGCAAAGCCAGAAAGGTACAGTGATGTCCATGCGATTTGAAGTTGTTCAGGCTGATTTGGATATGTTGTGTTCCTTTCAGGTAGAGACCCCCTGAAACAAAGTGTGAGGCATTTCACTTCAGTCATCTTCAGATGGAAGACCGTGGAACAGGTTTTGAGTTGCAAAGAGCAATGTCAGGACAAACACCAGGAAGTATATCTTTACCTAGAGAGTAATTAACATTTCAGGTTATCAGGAAGGGTGGTTAAGACCAGGACACATTTTAAAAAATGGTTTGATGCTGTGATGGGAGGAAAATAGGGTGTGTGATTTGGAAGAATGAGATCAGATCAACCAAAGGGCCTTCTTCATCTGAACCAATCTTTTGATGTGGTGATCAGACCCAGGTTAAGCTTGAAGGGGTCCCACGGCCATTATAGTTTTGAGGCCCCTCTTTGCATGTTCAATTCCTTCGCTTTACTGTTTTACCACTACCCATGCCCATGACAATGCCAAATATTCTATTGTTAATTTATCTTGGTTATTTAAGTTCTATTTTTTAAATGTGACATAACAATTTCACCCACAAAATGTAGTCAACTCACTTTACAGTATATTCTGTGAAGAGCTTTCAACATCTCAAAGACGTGATAAAGCGTTATATCAAATGCAAGGATTATTATTATTAAAACAATTATATAACTGAATCAAAGGTAGAATAATAATAATCCTTGCATTTGATATAGCGCTTTTCACGTCTTCTAGACGTCTCAAAGTGCTTCACAGAATATACTGCCAAGTGAATTGACTGTATATTTGTGGGCGAAACGCAGCAGCCAATTGCGCACAGCAGTGTCCCACAAACAGTCGTGGATTTAAAATAACCAATTTATTATTGTTTTGTTTTGGAGGGATTATTATTAGGTGTGTGGAGTTAGGAAACTTGCCCAAGGTTTCGCCCTCTGCCTGGAATTGAACCCAGGTGTCTCGCTTGCAAAGCGAGTGCTCTAACTACTGAGCTACAGGACTCCACAAATAATATATGGGGCAAAGACGTAATTGAAGCTGGTCTCCACTAGTTACAGTCCCGGTAACCTGGTCCTGTCTATGTAAGGATGTAGGGGTGTGTGTGTGTAGGGGGGTTGTGTGTGTATGTGTTTGTGTGGCGGGGTGTGGGGGGCGGAGGAAGTGTGGAGGATTCTGTCCGTACACTCCCCAGTGTCACATACTGTAAACTTCTATAGATCTACACACTGTAAAACTTACCAACATAAACTCCTGGTGTGGAGTTAACTTGAGCCAAACAAACGGTGCAAAAATTATACACATGATGTGTTATACATTAACCAGCACGTGCATGTGCGGCTGTCAGCCTGAGGAGACGTCAGTCAGCCTCACAGCATTTCACCTGAGACTGACACACCCCAAACACCCCCACCCCAAAGACTCTCACCCCCTCGCTCTCTCTCATCTCTATAAGGCACTGTTTCTGTTTCCAAATCACCAGCTCTATTCAGAATGACTAAAACAAAACCGTATTAATTTCAGCACAAATTGGTGGTACTAATACTCTTAGTGATGTTAAAGGTAAAATCAAACCAGAGCTTTATATTAGAACAGCTGTTAAATCAGTTTCTTCTGACTCTTCATGGTCAAAAAGTCTTCAATTATGTCATTGTACTCTAGCTGGTCACACTCGATTGACATTAATGTTAAATTATTCAATCTTTGATCCATAGTTGACCTGAGTTGATGTTTGATTAGCACCAGCGTTAGTTACTGGCAGTGTCACAAACATTTGTAAAGCAATGTCTACATTGGGAAATATAAATTGCAGGCTCTTTTGTTGTAAATGGCGAAGCTCAACTCCTCTTCCCAACTCATCTCCCGCAGAAATATTTGCCCAAACTTGCGGGGAGATTTGGCACATTTTGCGGAAAATTGTGGGGAGTTGACTGATTCTGTTGAGAGGCACATTTTACTGCTCACTTACATTTTTTTCCCTTTATTGATAAAAACTAAACATGAAGAAATAATATCATACACTGTTGCAAAAATACCCTAATTATGAATGCTTTCCTTTATGAAAAACTGGGCGTCCGACTTAGAAGGACAAACACCAGCGCAGGTGAGTGTTACTGACTGCCGGGGTCCTGTGGGTAACCACCTCCTGCTTCTCAGGGCTGCCACCACAAACAGACACACTTACAGCACAGAGAGACACACACACACACACAGACTCCCAGACACACTTACAGACAGAGAGAGACACATACACACACACACTCCCAGACACACTTACAGACAGAGAGACACACACACACTCCCAGACACACTTACAGATAGACACATACATACACACACTCCCAGACACACTTACAGACAGAGAGAGACACACACACACACTCCCAGACACACTTACAGACAGAGAGAGACAAATACACACACACACTCCCAGACACACTTACAGACAGAGAGAGACACACACACACTCCCAGACACACTTACAGACAGAGACACATACACACACACACACTCCCAGACACACTTACAGACAGAGACACATACACACACTCCCAGACACACTTACAGACAGAGAGAGACACACACACACTCCCAGACACACTTACAGACAGAGACACATACACACACACACACTCCCAGACACACTTACAGACAGAGACACACACTCCCAGACACAGTTACAGACACAGAGACACACATACACTACCAAACAGACACACATACACCAAGAGAGACACACGCATATAGACACACAAATATACACACACATAGAGGGACACACTCATACCCACAGAAATACACACTAACACAGACACGGATATATATATATATATATATACACTCTCTCTCTCACACACACACACAGACAGTCTCGAGGCCGCGAACACTCACCCACGAGTGAGACCCATTTCCCGCCGCCACCCCAGCAGCCCCCGCGGCGCGCATGCGCGGACGCCACGCGTTCCCGCCCGGCCCCGGCCTGCGGCCAATGCGCACGCGCGAGGTGCCCGCTTTCCCGCTCTCGCGGCCCTCCCTTCGGCTCCGAAGCTTCCAGAAGCCCCGCCTGACCCGGTCAGCGGCTCCGACAGCGCCCGTCAGGCCGAGCTGCCAGGGGTGTGGGCCCACGCGCCTCTGTTCTCCAGCCGTGAGTAGTGAACCCGGTTGTTAGTCGATTGGCGGATCGCTTTTCCGGGGCCAATAATCCGCCTTCGAAATAAAATAATTCGGTCACTTCAACCCGCGGCTGTTGGCGGGGGCGCTGCTGTGCGCAAATGGCCGCCGCGCATCGCCCCACAAGATAATACGGTCAATTCACTTTACAGTGTATCCTGTGAAGCGCTTTGAGACGTCGCGGAGACATGATCGGGCGCTGTATCAAATGCAGGGATTATTGTTGTTGTCTCCTGTGTCGGGGACGGCCTGAGGGACGGTGTGTGAGTGAGAACGGTATCGCCGGGGGGAGCGGGGACATGGTTTGCCGGAGCGGGAGTGGGAGGGCTCGAGGTTGTGTTGTCGACAGTGGAGATGGTGACCGAGTCTCTGCTGAGCTGCTGCAGCTCATCTGCACTGTTGGCCTCCACTCCTCCCGCTGTCACCGGCCATCGCTGGGGAGACGCGCACAGCAGGGACCGGAAACCGCAGGAGACCGGCGGGTTTGCTGATCTTTCTCCTCCTCGCACACAGCAGCCTCTCCTCTCGGTGTCCATGGGCTCTGGACCCCCTCCACTCCTTCCTTCACCCACATTCCCCAGTTTGGGGGGAACCTTAACCCGCCCCAAGCTCGTACCTCACAGAGACCCACGATGTACCGCACGGAGATAGATGAAGCTCATGGCTCATTGTGATGAATCCTGTATCTCACCGAGACGAGGCTTGTGGCTATCGCCAGCGCCTCCGCACCTCAGGCATTGGCAGCTTCAGCGTCCACAGATGCGCATTCCACCTCACTGAGCCAATCAGGAACCTGGGCATCTTGTTCGACCCTCAACTGTTCTTTTTTCCCGACCTGCCATACCATCAGCAGCCAGGCTTTCAGCCTCTCTGCCCCCACCCTTTGGAACTCCATCCCACAATCCCTTCGCACCTTCCATTGCCTCATTCAAGGGGCAATTCACGACTCAAGACCCTCCTTTTCGAACGCGCCTTCAGCTGCCCTCCTACCTCTCTGCCTTACCCCATCCCAGCCCTGCCCCCCACCCCCCATACGCGGGACCTGATCCCCGACTGTTCAGCGCCTTGGGGCGTCCTCCCAACATGAAAGGCGCTTTACAAATGTAATTTTGTTGTTGTTATACTACACAGGATGAGACTTGGACCTCACTGAGACTGATTGTCCTTTACTCAGACCCATCTGGTAGCTACCTATGACCAACTTTGCACCTCACTGAGATCAAGATTGTCGCTTAATTAGATGAGATTTGCTTCTCACCGAGCCAGCAGGAGTTCACTAAAACCAAGGTTGTACCCCAAGTTCAGAGTCTGGTCACGATTATCAAGCTTCTACCTCACAGAGACTAGGCTGGCACCTCAATAAGAATAAGAATCCTTGCATTTCATATAGCACCACCCAATAAACCAACAAGTGAAGAGCCCAGTCGCAGTTTGGCTCAAACAAAGAAAAAGTTTATTGAAAACTGAGATTTCCTTTAAAAACGCGAGGAGAATCGCTGATATGCCATTCGTTCCCTGGGAGAGGAGTCACGATCCAGCCGAAGGAGAGGAGTTTCCAGTCCCCTCAATCCTCACTCCTTTGCTGGGAATGCAACACCAGCAGCAGGGCCTATGGATACAAGAGGAAACATCAGTGAGTCCCGGATACACCAAGACACAGCTGGATATTAACGGGATCGCAAGGGAGGTGCAGATTAACAATTCCTTCAGCCCATTTCGCCCCAACCTTTCCAACTCCCATTGACCGTCTCCCCATCACAGCCTCCAGCTGTTTCTTCAATGAGTCCAGTGTCTTGGCCTCAGCCTGCCTTCCTGGCAACCCAGAGCAACCACGAGTGACCCTGCGTGTAAAGAAATACTGGCTGGAGCCTGTGCCAAAACTGCTCTTCACCAGCATAAGCCTTAGTGTCGAAGTGTGGGAGAGCATCACTGTATCTTTTACTCCTCTGCTTTTTTGTTGCTCTTGGTGGGAACACAAAAAGATGCTTTGACAATGACTCTCGCACACGCGCACTTTTCCAACGGGACCGACCACTCCGCAAACCCAAAGGTTTCACTCAGCCGCAAGTTGGATTTGAAGATTGGGAGCAAAGTGACTGAAGCGATGAGACTTGGGGGTATGGGGGAATGAAAAATGGCTTGAGATCAGGCCTGGACCGGGCGGCCTATCAGGTGCAAGAACTATTCCACTCCCCTTCTGGAGAGCACCTTTCAGACATGGTGTTCGTTTCGAGCGGATCTGCTGGGATTTTAAGCCAGAATTTGTCTTCCCAGTCTCCAGCCTCTGAGCTGATGGGTAGAGACACCACCTGCCCCACTGGGTGAAGAACCTCTGAGTGGGGATCAGATCCTTTGTGAAATGGACAGAGACTTTTGCTTACCACTGAACACTTCCTCAGTGCCCACTTCCACCAAGGTCTGTGGGAACAGAAATTGCTAAAGATTAAACAGTCAGCGAAAATCAGCAGCTTCAAAATCACCTCGTCCGCATCTCCTGCAATCCCTCCACTTCCTTCAATCGCAGCATTTCATACATTACCTGCTCTCTCTAGCTCCCCCGCACTTCCTCCTCTTGCTGCGTGACTTCTTCCTAAAGACAAAGTGAAAGATTCAGACACTCGCTCAGATCATGTATCAGCCTGGCTCAGTGGCAGTGCTCTTATCTCTGAAGGTTGTGGGTTCAGGCCTCATGGTGGGTCTTCGTATCACATAGTTTAAGCTGACATTCCATTGCATTGCTGGGGGAGTGCTGCAATGTTGGAGGTGCTGTCCTTCCGATGTGATGTTAAACTGAGGTCCAGATGGCGGTTAAAGATCCTGTGGCACTAATTCAAAAAAAGGAGGGAGTTCCTTTCACTCCCTCCATGGCTTTTTTATGGGCCATTGTTGTGTGCAATTGGCTGCCACATTTCGCTAACAAAATACGGTCACTGCACTTTTATCCTGTGAAGTATATCCTATGAAACGCTTTGAGATGTCTCTATGATGTATATCAAATGGAAAGATTATTATAATAATAATTATGCAAACTCCTGACAGCGAGGCAACCGGTTGCAGGGATTGTACAGGTGGGGACGCGGTGCTTCGTTGTATGTTACCAGTTGCCTCTGTCTACGCTACTCTGTAAAGCGCCCGCTCCCTCGGGCTGTTATACAGAGACTCACTCGCCTGCTCACTGTCTCTGGGAAGTGCTCCATTCTGACCTTGTTCTCCACCGGTCTTTCCTTCTCCATCTTGTTCTTCAGCCTAACAAACAACAACTTGCCCTTATACATGACGCTGCTCAAATTCAACTCAGGCCTCAAAGAGCTTCACACAGATAATGGGAGCAACGAGCAGCCAGGTTAAGGTCAGGATTTGAGAATGGTGAACAAAGGAACAACCAGAGAGATGAGTTTCTGAGGAGTTTGAAGGCAGGAAGAAAAGCCAAAAAGATTTGAGGGGAGTTTGCGGAGAGCAGGTTCATAACAAAACTTTACTTGCTCGTCTCCTCCCTCTTCATGGTGATAATGTTGACCTGGAACAGAGACGGAAAGGAAAGGATTAACTGCCAGCAAAGGTCTGGCATCCATGTCTGTCTGAAGACATTGCAGGATTGGGCTGGAAAATATCAAGTCTCCAATTCCGGCTACGCTGTACCGCAATGAGACTCCGGCTCTGACACTCACCAGTTTGGTTTGCCACTCCTTAGCCTCTAGTACCTACCCAGGCCAGGTCAAGGTAGGCAGATTGTCCTTCTTCCTGAAATACAAAGCTGCCGTTAGTGTGTGCGGACTACGTGTTTTAATTCTGGGACGGTTCTGCATCCTTAATTTGTATCTCCACATTATGGATCGCTCCCCACCGCAGAGTGTACTGGGTGGCCTCTGTAATCAATTATCGCTCATGTGCACAAGAGCTTATCTCTAAGTGTGTCTTACTAATTCCGATCAGTACTGTCAGATTGATCTTTAATCGATGCAAACTGGGAAGCTTCAGTCAATCAGGTTTATTTTCGAATACGTCTATTTGTGTTACTTCCTCTTATGTTGAAAATTAACAGAGAGCTCAAATGAGACCTGGTTAAGAAAACTCAAAAGTATTTTTATTATGGTTCATTCAGAATTCAAAACTCCTCAGACATAGTTCTCAAGTGATTTTGAGTGCAAACACAACCATGAATTACACAAATAACTAATCAACTTTAACAAATACTAGCTAGCAGCCTATTAAATATGAGGTTAATGTATATGCACTGAACCAACTCTTAACACAGAAGGTTTATACCTCTAGCCAGTCAAGACACATACCTTTCTGATGTTATCAAGTTAAAAAAAATGACCAAGAGCAACCTCCTGCTCTTCCTTTTAAGAGCACTGTGACCCCATTGTAGAATATGCAATCCAAATGTATCAGCACCAATTACTTAGTGCGATTGGTGCCCTTTTCTATAGTTCTTTCAGGATCCTCCACTCAGTTGCTTCTAATCCTTCATTTTGCATATTAATTTTGCATATTAGGGTTAGGGTCACCCTGCCAAATTGTTGCAACTTACGCCATTGGAGACTTGATAGCACCATCAGGTCACAATCTTATTTAAATACATAAAAAATGTATTTGAATAAATATTACACTGAAAACCAATATGCACATGCGCTAGCTCTTTTCCGAACTTTCGGTGTTTATATGGGCTTACCCGAGCGCATTCAGGTCAGACAATTATCGCGCTTAAGCAATCAATGCCTTAAACTACATATTAGCAACATTAAACACTTTCAACAGGTTAA